CCACAATTGGAGGTTGATTGGGCATGTTGGGGTATTAAGTTTGAGGAAAGAGTACAGGGAATGAATAAGAGAATTCATGTGTCCTGAACTGGATATGTGAGGATTTCCGTGTGTGGCCTTATAGACAGAGTACATGTAGGTCCAAATAAGACTGATGAGGCTGCAGAGATGCTTTGCGAGTTGTAGATACCTTGTAAAGTTTCAAAATTGAACCCACAAAATATGTGATATGGGTCCTCATGTAATTATTACCATAACTGCTAATCTGGCCTTTTAAGGTCAAGGATTACAGTGTTCAATGTCATCAATTCCAGCAGTGAAAAAGTATTATGGTATAACAATTCCTGTCCTTGCTTAATTCTGCATTAAAAAGAACCTAAGAAATTTCAAACTATTTCTTATTTCAGGAAATGTGTAAAGTCTTTGGTGCACTTCAGTCTTATCGATGGGCTCAATAATCAATGGAACTACTGACTCTGTCCCAATAATATTTACCAACTGCAGAATAGGCTTTGCAATTGCCAAGAGGCTTGGCAGCGAAGGAGCCCACGTGGTGATTAGTAGCCGTAAGCAAGACAATGTGGACAGAGCCATCAAGGAGTTGAAGGATGAGAACCTCAGTGTCACTGGTATGGTGTGTCACGTTGGAAAGGCTGAACATCGTGCAAAGCTTATCAATGAGGTACCTGTATCCTACATGAGCATCTTGCGCTCGGCGTTCTTGCAATTTTCTCACACAACTCACAGCGCAACCACTGGCTTATTTACATGTACACCCTTCTACCAGGCAGCTGATTATTTACATTTATGTGCCACAATTACAGCTTCACTTAACTGATCTTCAAAGGATCAAATTTAATTTGTTGTCGGCCATGAATATCAAGAAAAAAAACCATTAGTATATTTGAAATTCATTCTGGGAAAGTTTTCAGAGTTTGTGCCTGATTCCAAAGCAGTCAATTCAAACTGTTTTTGAAGTGGAGCAATTTCAAATCCTGTTTTTATTGCTTTTCAAATATTTCCACCAGTAGTTTAATAAATGCAAGGACTGTAGTCAAGTCCAGCACAAGTCCACTACAAAGCATCCAGTCTTAAGCCAAAGTCAAAGGCTATTCAAATAAACTGTGATAAAAGCATTCCTTTGTCATTGTATTCGATCCTTGTATTTGTGATTGGCCTTCCGACTAGACTTGTGACTTGACTTTGAAAGGACTTGTGACCAGTCTTGTGATGGACACGGCAGCAGCCCAGATAAAAACATTGATCAGCCTTATCCAGGAATGTTTGGAACATGTGTGCGATGCCGTGCAGCCATGCACAACAAGTTTTTTAACAATTTGTTTGATACCTGTGTAGCTGATCAACTTTTTAGCTCGTTAGATCATGTTATAAGTCTTGCACCTCTAAGTAGCCTCTTACTGTCGCAAGTGGAAAACGTGCTATGAAAATTTTTTGAGGAGAATTCTGAGACATATCAAGTTTGATGGTTTATTTGTTCTCTGTGACTTTTTCCGAAGACTGTAGCTAAGCATGGAGGAATAGATATCCTGGTGTCGAATGCGGCTGTGAACCCAGCCTTTGGACCTATGCTTAACGTGAGTAGGAAGTTCTCTTTGCATTTCTTTTGAATAAACTGAAAGCCAGGGGCCTTTTTCAAGCACAGAGTTGTGGCAAGCACAGAAGACTTTGATTTACATATTTATGTTACCAGAGTGTCGTGTAACGTTTGCTTTTGTTGACTGGTTCTCTGCTGAATTGTGCTTGCCACATTAATTTGCCAACTAATATCCCCTGCTAAGCAGGTCTGTCGGATTGAGACCGGGGGTTCAATTTTCATGGCACCGGTAAGCACACACTTGTTTACGTGACCTACCTAGTGTGGACATCCCTTTGTTCACATGTAGTTACAAAAACTTGGTGAAAATGTTCGTTTTTCTCTTACTGTGCCAAAATGTGGACTCGCCCATTATTAAAAGTATGAATCTAGCTGATCTTTTTGCTCATTTGAAGTCCAAATATCTTATCTTTTACTTTACAGACCACAGAAGAACAATGGGATAAGGTGAGTTGCCGGAATTAAATGTTTGAAAAATTTGTCAACATTTTCCAGCAATGAGAAGTGTTGTTGGTAAACCTGAAGTCAATAACACTTGAGAAACTTGTAGAGAGACATCGGAAGAATTGGGCATTTGAAAAAAGAGAGAGTGAAAATGACCAAAATACATTTTGAACATTGGCCTTGTGGAGATTCCAACTTCAGTCACTGGGATGGAAGACCAGGAGAATGCCACTTACCTACCCCTTGTTGTTTCCCTGTCATCAGTGACAAAACATTGATCACTGAGTTATAGTCTTAAAGGCTGGCGACTTTTGGGTTATTCCACTATTACAATCTGCTTCTGGTACTTATCCGATTTACATTGTTTGCTTGAGAGGGTTTTGAACCTGTGATCATAGAATGATGCTCCATTCAATTGCCGATTTGAATCAAAGTACTATCATGGGTTTTCTTGATTCCTGTTTGATTTTTGTAATACCTAGCTAGTTACCTTGACTTGCAATCTCTATAAGAATGAGTTGTCAAGAACAATTTTAATCATTGCTTACTGAGGTGTTTTCGGATTCAAGTTTTGCGGTAATTTTCAATATTTGTTTTCCCTGCAGATTTTTGATGTCAATGTAAAATCAACATTCCTGCTCATTAAAGAGTGTGTGCCACACATGGTGGACAGAAAGTAAGCAGACACATTTCTGTAAGGAAGTTTCTTGATTGAGAACAAGTATTTCACGCTGTCTGGGGCAGGAAGCAGGAAATGTAGTTTTGCAAAGAATTATATTCACGTATTTGAAATTGTAGACTTTGGTGACATTAGTGATGCAGGAGCAGCGCATGTATGTTTGACTCGCAAATATACAAGCGCTCTGTGCGTAAGAGATCTGTTGAAAGATTGCTTGAAAGAGGGTGGAAGCGATGAACTTTGTCATAGCTGAGACCCAACGAGACCATCACAAGGCCCTCAGTCTGAATGCAAGTCTCAAGTTATGTAGATACACTGTAGGTAGCAACTAAAGAATTCCTAAGTCAGTGTTCACCATTTTTCTTAAAAGTGGTTTTTGTGATGTTCCCGCCAACAACACTGGTGATGATGGTGTCGCCACCCCAGGCTCACACCCCTTGTAAAGCCCCACCCATGCGGTGCGCTCCGAAAACCAAACTGGAGAAAATCAAGCCCAGAGAAAGTAGTGGCTTCAGTGGACAGCTGGTCGTCGTGTCTAGCATCAATCACTTGACACATGGAAAGTTTAGAGGAGTGTTTTAGTAACCTCATGCTATGCAGGAATTAATCCTTGCACACCGGTGAAGTCGGTCCACCATGCTCCCATGTACCCCTGTCCTGTGTGTTGGATGGACTGGTAGTTTCACAACATCGGGGCCCAATTTCATGGCGCTGCTTACCGTAAGCAAAAAGTCAGTGCTTACCATAACAGAAAATTCTATGCTTACGGCCAACATATTTCACGGGTTAACAAGGAATTTTGGCTTGTACGCATGCGTACATCCCGTAACTAAGGATTCTGTGCTTAAAAGGTTAGCGCAGAATTTTTCTGCTAGCCTGGTCAGCGCAGAATAGAGATCGTAAGTGTGGAATTCTGCGGTAAGCAGCGCCATGAAATTGGGCCCAGCACTGTGTTGCTTATTTCAGAGGTTCATCTATCGTGATTGTGTCATCAGTGGGCGGATACAACCCTTTCTCCGTAAGTCAAAGAAGTCAATTTTTTAATCCCCTGTACAGCTTTGTTGATATCACACTTTGTACTGGTGAAAGCTGCATTTGATGGATATATGTGAACTCTCATGTAGACGCAGAGGCAGTGTGTCTTTAGTTACGTGTACATGCGATAAGCTTAAAGTAAGTGTGTGCGAACTTTTATGAATACAGCCTTGTTCGTTCGTGGAAAGGAAGTGTTTTGAATTTTCAGTCAGTGACATTTTGCATCAGAGTAAAAGAGATGATACATATACTGTGTTTACTGTGCGGGGTAACCGACACACTCACTGCCGTCCCATGTCTGCCTGTATTAATGTCCAATTGTCAATGAGTGACTAGGGCTCCAGGACCAGGGATTGTTGAACAGAGCTCTTTGCTGGAGCTTTTACCGAAGCTCAGCTGTGACTCTGACCTTGGTTTTGTTTGTGGTGTTGGGACTGTTTGAAGCCCTTTACCTTTGAGGCTAAAGGAAAACATTTCATTGTACCTGCTGAAAGTCTTTGACACAGAACATGGACTCGTATGAAGTTTGAAATCTCTGCGCTGATTTTTTGTGAAGATTGGGCAGAGAAATATCACAGCGCCCTCTTCAGGTAATGCACAGGGCTCATGCTGTCTTCTGGTATTGGCTCCCACATCCTTAGTTTCTTGTTTTGTCGGCTTGTCTTTCTCAGTTGCTCGGGTGCTATTCGATCTCCAAGACCACTCTACTCGGTATGACCAGGGCTCTTGCGAGTGAGTGTGGCCCCATGGGAATCCGAGTCAACTGCATCGCTCCAGGAATCATCAAGACGAGGTTCAGTGAAGCTGTGAGTAGATCTAAATTTCGAGATAATGAGGAGACATGAAACACTGGCCCAACTGGAATCTCTCTGTTTTGTTGTAATCAAGTACTTTTCAAGTACCAAGTTCTCCTCTTAAAGTGGTTTGGAGGGAACAAAGTATAGGCATTGGATGCTAAATGCCCAAAGTTAAGATAACAAAATAATTTGATGACTTCAGACCAATGCTGTTTAATAAAAACTCAATTTTCATGACAAAAGGACTCAGCCCAACACTTTTATCCTTAAAAACTTAATTTTTGCTGGAAGCGTCAGGAGTCTTAAATTCATTCTAAAATCTTCCCTTTGTGTATTCGCCACTGAAAATCAATTGTTCTGTAGCTTTGCTCTGTCCTAGCCAGTTCAGTATTTGGTAGGAAATTTGCAACTTGAAAAGTACTCGACCACAACACTGGTATGATTGATTGGTGTCAGTTACTTTTTATCATCAGTGATGGAGAGCCCTACTGCAGTCAATTTCTGTTTCTAAAATGACAGTAGTCAGTAAATGGAAACAAATATGGTGACTCGAAGTAAAGCTAGCAAAGTCACTAAATTCTAACGCTAAATTATTGTAGATTTCCATTTTATCTATCACCTGGCTCTTTGTTCAACTGTCTGTAACAATCCTGAGCATTAGCATCAGACTGTTCAGAATTAGTGTCATCCTGCATCCACTTTTTTTTTTTTACCCCTGCAGTGATTTGCTGATGTGAACTTCTCAACTCACTTATTAATGCCCTGTTGCCTTGCATTTTCCTTCTTCGATTTTAGTTGTGGAGCGACAAGTCAGTCCTGGATTTATCCTTATTGACGGCAACCATCAAACGGTAAGCATTAGATGGGTCTGCTCAGTTGCAAAGCCAGATTGTAATTTGATGTCAATCCACCTTGTCTCGTTCTTGATTTGGAAGTGTTGCTTCAAATGTATACATGCACACAGAGTTGCCGACCTGTTCATTTTGCCCTCGTGACATACCCAGCTTCTTATTCTTGAAAACTTTTTTCCATCCTGTTTTGCTTCAAGACGCTGATAGCTTTGCACACGTATCAATTGCATTTGTTGTTGGTTAAGTATTCTGCCATGTTGGGCTGTCCATGCTACTTTCTTTTTAAGCATACAACTGTTGTTTCCCTTGAAGGCCCGGGGAGTCAGACGAGTGTGCAGGTGCCGTGGCTTTCCTGTGCTCAGACGATGCTTCTTACATCACGGGCGAAAACATCTTGATTACCGGGGGCATGCACGCACGACTCTAGTCAGGCTTCCGACAACCCACCTACGGGCTTTACCATAATACTGCAAGTGGGTTATGACCTGTCTGTAATTTTTTCCGACATCCTTGTTCAGCAGTCAACCAAGACTTGCATGCACTAACAGGATTTCAATGGCTACCACTGCGAAGACCACCTAGGTTTGTGCCATTAAGCCACACACTGTCCAAGGGAATTAAGCTTTTTTCCCCTGCATGATTAAAAGGAGTGAAGTGGTCACGCTCCGTGAACTTATCGTTTATCATTGATCAATAATTTTCATAAATATTTATGGAAAAAATGTCACCTCTTCCACTCATCAATGTTCCAAAGAGTCTGGAAACTAAGTTAGCTTGTTGTAAGGTTCAGA